CCATTACAAGCCTCTGCTTCCCTTCACAGGCAGTTATTCACAGAAAGGTCGATGTAGTCATGTTCAAGAGTGCTCAACAAATGACTCTAAGCATGGCCTGTTTCTACCCTCTTCACTCCACTGAGGTAACTATGAGAACATTAACTTCCTTACTGTGAAAGCAACAAATACCTTTTTAAGTATTCTATTAAATACTTGATTTTTGGTAACACTTTAAAAGGCTCACTTTGCGGCCTACAGATGTTGTAATGGTTACATTGCTGGACTCCCACATGGCAGACAGCAGCTGGAATCTCGGATCTGGTGGCTTGAAATTCACTCCAGCCATGTGTGTGTGCATGCCTAAGATCCCAGGAGGAGAATGGAGGAGAAAGGATTAATTACATTATAGCCATACCCCCTGGGAAGATGATTTCTCACTTTCTCCCTCACTGTCTCTGTCTGTCTGTCTCTGGCAAGCACACACACCCAAAGGAAAAAAACCTGAAACAAACAAACAAACAAATGGGGGACCAACAGATGGCACAGCAGTTATGTCGCTAGACCCCAATAGGCCAACTGCAGTTCAATTCCCGGACCTGGTGACTTCAAAATCATGCCAGGCATGTGTGTGTGCATGCCTAAGATCCCAGGAGGAGAGTGGAGAAGGGACTGCAGTGTGGCCATCCCCCCGGGGGGGTGCTTTCTCACTTTCTGTCTCTCTGTCTCTGTCTGTCTGGCAAGCGGACGCGCCCTATAGCAAATATCTCTCCAAAAAGAAAAAAGAAAAGAGGAACAGGGATCGGCACTTAGCGTAATAGGAGAAAGGACTCCTTCAGGGGGGATGGCAACACAATCCTTTCTCCATTCTTCTCTTGGGATATCTAGCAAACGTACACCTCTGGCATGTTCTTCAAGCCACTGAATCTACAACTCCAGCCATGTAGTCAGCCACCTGGGATCCAGCTACTTTAACCACCACACAACTGGATGGCTCAAGATCACCTATTTCTACCCCCCATTCTCAATTTCTATAAAAACCATAGGACTGTACTAGTCACTTATATATATTTATAGGTCATTATGCATCTTTTTTCAAAAAGAATTCTTTATTTAATCATATTTATCATTGTTGTTGTTGTTATTTAATTGATGAGGGGTTAAGTGACAAAGCAAGTCACCAGGTCTGGGATTCGAACTGTGGTGGGCCACATGGGTCTCTAGCACCTTAACTACCAAGTCACCTGCCAGCCCCTGTCATGATACATCTTATAAAACAATAAATAATGGGAACAGCAGTTGGTGTAATAGCTATACAGCTGTACTCCCATGTAGTCAACTGCAGTTCGAGTCCCAGACCCAGTGTCTTAAACTCATGCTGGGTGCATGTACGTGTGTGCCCCCAAATCCCAAAAGAATGGAGGAGAAGGGATTGTGGCATAGCCATCCCCCTGGGGGTGATCTCTCTCTTTCTGTCTCTCTCTGTCTTTCTGGTGAGCACACATACCCCATAGCAAAAACCTCTTCCGCAAAGAATGAATGAATGAATGAATGAATAAATAAATAAATAAATAATGCTAGTAAGTAAATTTAGGTCAGTCTATAAACAGAGCAGAAACTAAACTTGTGATCTTTGAATCTAGAAATATGTTGGGGAAATAAGATATTCTATGCTCATATTGTCCTTTCATACCACTACATTCTGTTATCTATCTTTAAATTGTTGATTATAAACTAGTAGTCAGAGGTCAGCAGGTCGTGTGGTGGTTGGAGCACTGGACTCCCACATGGCTGACCACAGTCTGAGTCCCCAACTGGGTGGCTCGCTTTCTCACTTTCCCTGTCTTTCGTTCTCTGTCTCTCTGTGGTAAATACAGGTGTCCTATACAGATTAAATAATAATCATAATAAATGAAATAAATACTTTCTTTTTTTAAAGAATTTTTTTATTTAACTTTATGTATTTGTTTTATTTATTTATTTAAATTTAACCAGAGAGGGACAGAGTGAGAAAGAAGAGAAGGAAAGTGAGAAAAGCAAGCCGCCAGGTCCGGGACTTGAACTGTAGTTGGCCACGTGGGAGTCCAGTGCCCTTAACCACCATGTACCTGCCGGCTACAAAATAAATAATTATTAAAAAAAAAAAAATGGTAGTCAGTTAACAGACTTCTATTTATTTATTTTAGATTTTTGCCACAGGGCACGTGCGTTTACCAGAGAAAGAGAAAGTGAGAAGTCACCCCCCCAGGGAGATGACCACACCACAGTCTCCTCTCATTTATTCTCCTTTTGAGATTCCGGGCATACACACATGCGTGCCCAGCATGTTTTTTCAAGTTACTGGATCCGGGACTTGAACTGCAGCATCAGCCTTGTGAGGTCCAGTACCTTAACCACCATGCTACCTGCTGGCATAGTTAATAGATTATTTTATGTATCACCAATCAATAACAATAACTTCTATAAACTAGAGAAAAGTGACCTTCAGTCAGACCAGTATTCTGGGGAGACTCATTAGAGAATCATTAAAATAGATGATATTTGAAGTTTTTTCTGTGTGTGTGATATTGTTCTGTGAAAATGTCCCACAAATAAACATCCAGTGCTTCAATGAAATGTTAAAGTGTTAAGAATGGTAAAGACTCTTCTTCCATTACCCTGCAAACACTAATCTAATTTCTGAGATACAAGTTAAAAAATAGGTTATTTATATATAACCTCACCATAAAGATGGCTCTCCTATAACATATTCCAGGTGTTGAAAATATCTCAATATAAAGTACTAGGTCACCGGGAGAAGTCATGACATGGTTTTCCATTTTTATGAAAAATGTTATCATTACTTTCCCCATGACCAAATATTATATACTTTTTTTAAAGCAGCAGGTTTTAGACATTAGAGCTTCAAACAGAACCCAAAAACCTAGACCTGATCAAATTCAATACAAATTATACTAGACACAGTGATTTCATCTGCTCTTTAAAAAAGTAGGACTGTACTAGTCACTTATATATATTTATAGGTCATTATGCATCTTTTTTCAAAAAGAATTCTTTATTTAATCATATTTATCATTGTTGTTGTTGTTATTTAATTGATGAGGGGTTAAGTGACAAAGCAAGTCACCAGGTCTGGGATTCGAACTGTGGTGGGCCACATGGGTCTCTAGCACCTTAACTACCAAGTCACCTGCCAGCCCCTGTCATGATACATCTTATAAAACAATAAATAATGGGAACAGCAGTTGGTGTAATAGCTATACAGCTGTACTCCCATGTAGTCAACTGCAGTTCGAGTCCCAGACCCAGTGTCTTAAACTCATGCTGGGTGCATGTACGTGTGTGCCCCCAAATCCCAAAAGAATGGAGGAGAAGGGATTGTGGCATAGCCATCCCCCTGGGGGTGATCTCTCTCTTTCTGTCTCTCTCTGTCTTTCTGGTGAGCACACATACCCCATAGCAAAAACCTCTTCCGGAATGAATGAATGAATGAATGAATAAATAAATAAATAAATAAATAATGCTAGTAAGTAAATTTAGGTCAGTCTATAAACAGAGCAGAAACTAAACTTGTGATCTTTGAATCTAGAAATATGTTGGGGAAATAAGATATTCTATGCTCATATTGTCCTTTCATACCACTACATTCTGTTATCTATCTTTAAATTGTTGATTATAAACTAGTAGTCAGAGGTCAGCAGGTCGTGTGGTGGTTGGAGCACTGGACTCCCACATGGCTGACCACAGTCTGAGTCCCCAACTGGGTGGCTCGCTTTCTCACTTTCCCTGTCTTTCGTTCTCTGTCTCTCTGTGGTAAATACAGGTGTCCTATACAGATTAAATAATAATCATAATAAATGAAATAAATACTTTCTTTTTTTAAAGAATTTTTTTATTTAACTTTATGTATTTGTTTTATTTATTTATTTAAATTTAACCAGAGAGGGACAGAGTGAGAAAGAAGAGAAGGAAAGTGAGAAAAGCAAGCCGCCAGGTCCGGGACTTGAACTGTAGTTGGCCACGTGGGAGTCCAGTGCCCTTAACCACCATGTACCTGCCGGCTACAAAATAAATAATTATTAAAAAAAAAAAATGGTAGTCAGTTAACAGACTTCTATTTATTTATTTTAGATTTTTGCCACAGGGCACGTGCGTTTACCAGAGAAAGAGAAAGTGAGAAGTCACCCCCCCAGGGAGATGACCACACCACAGTCTCCTCTCATTTATTCTCCTTTTGAGATTCCGGGCATACACACATGCGTGCCCAGCATGTTTTTTCAAGTTACTGGATCCGGGACTTGAACTGCAGCATCAGCCTTGTGAGGTCCAGTACCTTAACCACCATGCTACCTGCTGGCATAGTTAATAGATTATTTTATGTATCACCAATCAATAACAATAACTTCTATAAACTAGAGAAAAGTGACCTTCAGTCAGACCAGTATTCTGGGGAGACTCATTAGAGAATCATTAAAATAGATGATATTTGAAGTTTTTTCTGTGTGTGTGATATTGTTCTGTGAAAATGTCCCACAAATAAACATCCAGTGCTTCAATGAAATGTTAAAGTGTTAAGAATGGTAAAGACTCTTCTTCCATTACCCTGCAAACACTAATCTAATTTCTGAGATACAAGTTAAAAAATAGGTTATTTATATATAACCTCACCATAAAGATGGCTCTCCTATAACATATTCCAGGTGTTGAAAATATCTCAATATAAAGTACTAGGTCACCGGGAGAAGTCATGACATGGTTTTCCATTTTTATGAAAAATGTTATCATTACTTTCCCCATGACCAAATATTATATACTTTTTTTAAAGCAGCAGGTTTTAGACATTAGAGCTTCAAACAGAACCCAAAAACCTAGACCTGATCAAATTCAATACAAATTATACTAGACACAGTGATTTCATCTGCTCTTTAAAAAAGTATTTCCATTTTAGTTTGCCATGATAGTTTTAATTTTGATTAACTGAAAGAGCTCCATTTTGAAGATATCTATTCCATTATACTTACTAAAGTGTATCTGGAGGACCAATAATAAGAACTTCCCATCGGTAGAGATCATTGTCATCTATTAAACCTGCTGAAAAGCCTTCCACTGGATTTTTGTTGAGTTCTGTGGAAAAAGAAAAATTTGATCAAAACTTTTAAGCACCTGATTTTTACCTAACAAATAAATGACAGAACTTGACCATATGTGCTGTAATTTCTAAACTATTAAATGGATGTATCTTGCCAGACAAAATGCTCTCTTATGCCAAAACATGTCCATTCCATACCACAAAGAAGTCATGAGTATAGCAACTAACCAGAAGAGCAGCTGCAGCTGCTTTCTTACTTCAAGCTTGCTGTCCAGTCAGGCTCTTACCACTGTATGTGCATACAGTGGTCTTTAAGACAGTTTGTTACAATGCAGGTATCCAGCTCATCTCTCAGCACATATGGTTCAGAGGGCACCGGAAATCAAATCAAGACTGATAATTCTGGGATCAGATGGTGGCAGAGTATCAACACAACGTTTGTGATGCTGGACCATGTGAGAGGGTCCCAGGTTGGTGTCCAGGTCTCCCTGTGCAATGCCAGATGTGTGCCATGCCCCTGAACCAGGCTAGGTGAGACTGGGGGCAGCTTGCAGCATAGAGACCCTGTTAAGGACATCTGTCTCTACCCCTCCCTCCTCCTCATGTGTGAAATAAACAAACTTTAAAAACAAAGCTCAGTCAGGACCAGCAGCTGGCTTAATGGCTATGTCGCTGGACTCCCATGTAGTCGACCACAGTTCGAGTCCCAGACCTGGTGGCTTAAATTCACGCAGGGCGCGTGGTGTGTGCATGCTCAAGAGGATCCCAAGAGGAGAATGGAGAAGGGACTGTAGCGTGGCTATTGTTTTCTGCCTTTCTGGCGAGTGCACGTACCCTATAGCAAAATCCTCTCAAAAAACAAACAAACAAAACAAAGATCAGTAATTCTTATACTGTCATCTAAATTCAGGGAACGCTTTAGGAAACCTCTTATTGGGATTTACTGAATATAGCCAACTTTTTACTTACATTAATATTTGTATACCTACTTGACATTCCTCCACAGTCTGGAGGACACCACTACACACGGTGTTCCTAAGTGAGCTAATAGTCTGAGCACAGAGGCAGCAGAGTTCTCATCTGTCCTGCCTATGTGTGTTGACCTCTCTACCAGCCACAGCTCCCAGCACACCGAAGTGGCTTAGCAGTCAGAGACTACAGAAGTGGCTGCAGAACAATGAGGTTGTTTTCTATCTCTCTCTCTCTCTCCGCCTCCTTTTTTTTTTTTTTTTTTTTTAAAGATTTTTGATATAGGGCTCATGAGCTTGTCAGAGAGTCAAAAAGTAAGAAATCACTCCCCAGGGGAGATGGCCACCCCGCAATCCCTTCTCCATTTTCCCCTCAGGATTTTGGGTATCCAGGCAACACATGACTGGCATGAGTTCAAGTCACAGAGTCTGGGATTCGAACTGCAGTTGACTACACAGGAGTACTGCAACGTGACCATTATGCCATCTGCCAAGGTTTTTCTCTTTTAAAGAGTGCTCTGGCATGAAGAAAGAATGATGTGGGTAAGGTCAAGAACAGAATCAAGGAATGAGTGAGGTGAAGGCACACAAGCCAAGAGAAGACCTCAGAGGAGCAGGTAAGGAGCAGTACAGAGCCTGCGTGGTTTCAGAGACATGGAGTTTTATTAAGCAATGACCTACTGACGATGGACAGATCACATGAGGATTTTGAAAACAGTTTTAATGAGGTATAATTGAGATTCCGTAAAGTGCACGTACTTAAATTACACAATCTGGTAAATACTGATTTACCTATAACCTGTGAAGCCATCACCATATCAAAATATTTCCTTTCAATCAATCATCAACAAAATTATCAATTGTTTTACCTGCCAGTGAGTGCTGACTGGCTTAAATTAAAAAGTGGGACAAAGCGTGTGCAAAGGAAAGCAGTTCAGACAGGACTTCCTGGCAATCAGAACAGCTTTATATTTCTCGTATATATTGTAATACTTCCCATCATTCTCAGGAAGCTCAATTAAATGATGTAAAGAAGTATAATACAACTCCGAGTGACATAAAAGACTGCACAAAGTGTCTTTGGAACAAAGATATTTTTTGAGGAATCAGAGATGAGGTTATTTCAACAACTAGGATTTAACACTTCAACATGCCAGTGAAATGTGGAGAAAGCCAACTGTGACAGTTTATATTTAAACACGGAGAGCTTCTTTTGAAATCTGAGGGGAGATTTCTATAAGACTAATATTTTTGCCACACAGGCAATGTAGACTTTTATAAACAGTTAAATCCAGTACTGTGTCTAAAAACACAAGATACACATTTTTACTTTCAAATAACTGATCGAAGGTATTTTTTAAAGCTATCGAAAATGCAAAGTCTGCACTTCAGTCTTCTTTTCCTTATGCATACATACGTGTACTGTGTCAAGTATGCTGCAGATATACCAGCCAAGAACGGAAGGTCCCACTTTCCTGCTAACTGAGGGCAGAGTGGAGCACAGGCAAACCCAGGCAGTTATTTTCTAGACTGAGTTATCTCACTTCCAACCTTTTCCTACATGAACACTATAATATTACTCAGACTACTTTCTCCAACACTACACAGAGAAGTCCTGTGGAAGATTCTATAATTTCCGCCCAGAAACCACCTAGTTACTACATGTATTCTCCATCAGAAATCTAGAGGAAGTTTGGACACGTAAACTCTGCAATTAGCATATATGCTCAAAATTACCCTTGAAAATTTCCTTACACTTACATAAACTATGTATCCATGCTCATTCTTCTCACAACATCCTAAATTTTTCGAATTCCTTGTACATTTTTTCTTCTATGGGAATGATTGTGTCCACTACTTCTTCCATGTATGTATTTACAAAGGAATGCTGAAGAATGTCCAACCTTTCATTTTTGTCATGACTTTTGCCCCAAGCATGGATCCTCCTAGGACTAGACCTTGAATACTTAATAGATTTATCACACCTATAATAGTAGATCATGACCGCACCTCACCTATGCTTCCTCCAAGATCCAGTTCAAGTCTATCCCCTTCCATGAGGCCTTCATAAATAGTGGGTAAACAGAAAAATCATGATGCATTTTTGCATATAGAAAAAGATGTCACAACTTTTCCAAAGACCCAATAATTTACCAAATAATCTTCTCATTTCTACTCAATTCTACTAATTATACTTTCAGTCTATACTGTATCATCTGGCACTTGACTGTCATCATCTCCTGATTCCCAGAGACATAAACAGGCTATTGCAAATATGTAGTAAATGCTCTAACCGCAGTACAGGAATTTGGGGAGTACAAAAAGAAAGGGAACATAACATAATCATGAAGCAGAGAAGAATTACAAAAGGAAAAGAAGACAAAGGATTTGATTAAGAGGATACAAGGTCTAGAACCAGCAGTTAGCAAAATGGCTATGGTGCTGTACTCCCACATAGTCGACCGTGGTTCACGTCTCGGACCCGGTAGCTTAAAACTCACGCCGGGTGCGTGTGCGTGCGTGCCCAAGATCCCAAGAGGAGAATGGAGGAGAAGGGATTGCAGTGTGACCATCCCCTCTGGGGGGTGATTCCTCGCTTTCTGTCTCTATGTCTCTCTCTGTCTGTCTGGCGAGCGCACGCGCCCTATGGCGAAAACCTCTCCAAAAAAAAAAAAAAAAGAGGATACAAGGTTTAGATAGAGAAGCATGTATAAAACCTCCGAATGTGGAGATCACCTTTTGATTAGAACATAGGTGAGGGGGTGGCTGACTGCCAGAAGTTGATCAGCTAAGGGCCTTTGCAAAGCCATCTAACTTTGGACTTTATTTAGAGATGAACTTTACACGGACCTATCCTTCATTTTTTTCTTAACAAAGAAAAAAAAAATGGATTGACTTCATGAGATCTACATTTCCAAAAAGCAAACTTGCAGGGTATGGAAAAGAACATAAATAAAACCATGTGAGGATGGAGAAAATAAAAAGGAAGCTACCACAATAATCCTAGAAAGTGAATCTACCTCAAGTATATGGTAATAGAAATAATGAATAAGAACAGGCATATTCAAGAGGTAAAAATCAACCAATCAAACTTGGTGATGTGGGGGTTAAAGAAAAAGTAAAAAATGACATACACACAATCCCTCAAAAAGATAGAGTTACCACATAGCCCAGTAATTGCACTCTTGGGTATACACCCAAGGTATGAGAAAATGTATGTACAGGAGGTTGTATGCAAATGTTTATCGCAGCATTATTCAGAAAACCCAATAGAAACAACTCAAATGGGAGCTGGAGCAGAAGGAGCACACCACAGGGATGCCCTGTCAAAAGAATATTCGTCCCTCCATCCCATTTCACAAAAAAAAAAAAAAAAAAAAAAAGACAAGCAGGCTGAGGCTATGTCACGCACTACTGAGAAGCTATGCTACTGGACTGAGACCACATGGGAGGGTCGGGCCCAATTCACATTTCTTTTTTTTTTTTTAAGATTTTTTTTTTTTTTGAGAGCTTTTTACTATAGGGCTCATGCGCTCGCCAGACAGAGACATAGAGACAGAAAGCGAGAAATCACTCCCCCAGGGAGGATGACCACACCGCAATCCCTTCTCCTCCATTCTCCTCTAGGGATCTTGGGCACGCACACGTGCCCGGCGTGGATTTTAAGCCACCAGGTCCGGGACGCAAACCGCGGTCGACTACGTGGGAGTCCAGCGATGTAGCCATTACGCTAACTGCTGGTTCCCCCCAATTCACATTTTGACCTGAAGACTGGACACAATGGCATGCACTGTAATCCCAGCTACTCATGCAAACTGAGGAAGGAAAACAGTAATAGCAAGAACTGTGAAATAAACAAATAAATAGTTACACACACACACACACATACACCCCTTGACTATGTTAAAATCCTTAACTTCATGATACAAAGCCAACAACAACAACAACAACAAAAAATCTTAATGGTTGCATTTAGAAGAAGATGCTGTAAACCAGCTTATTCAGAGGTTAGGGGGAATGAATTAAGAATTCATCTTTCAAGACTTTTCCAGATAACTGAATAGCTAATATTTCTTTTGCAATCTGCAACAAAATATTACTTTTTTCTTTAAAAGAATTATTATTATTATCATTATTATTATTATCATCATTTTGGAAAGTTTTTTGCTATACGGCGTGTGCACTTGCCAGAGAGAGACAGACAGAAAGCGAGAAATCACCCCCCAGGGGGAAAGGTCACACTGCAATCCCTTCTCCTCCATTCTCCTCTTGAGATCCTGGGCACACATGCACATGTGCCCGGCGTGAGTTTGAGCCACTGGGTCCAGGACTCGAACCATGGTCGACTACATGGGAGTCCAGTGACATGGTCATTACGCCAACTGCTGGTCCTTATTTTATTTACTTAGTTCCATTTGTTATTTTTATTTTTTAATTTGATCAAAGAGAGACAGAGAGGGAGAGAAAGGAAAGTTGCCATGTTCGGGACTTTTTTTGGTTGGCCATGTGGGAGTTCAGAGCCTTTATCCATGTCACCTGCCAGCCTCAATTTATTAGTATTATTTTTAATTAGCTGTAGTGCACATGTGCTTACTAGAGGGACAGAAAAGGAGAGAGAGAAAATGAGAACGTGAGCTGTCAGGTCTGGTACTCAAACTATGGTCGGCCATGTGGAGTCCAGAGCCTCTCAACCACCATGCCACCTGCTGGCCTCCAAATGATTACTTCTACATAATGACTGTTAACAACTACTTTAAGTCAATGGATGAAAGACTAACAGGATGTGAACTACAGATCATAAAAAAGGGGACCAACCCACTTGGAGGATATTGCTACTTAGCAGACTGAGGCCTGTTTGATTCCTGGCTCACCCTCAAAAGCCAGGCATGTTGGCACGTGCTACTCAGACAGCACACCTGAAACTGGCCTGGACAACTGTGTCCTTGTCCCACAGAGCTGGTGATAGTGGTGAACATGCACCTGTGGCCCCAGCTAGGCTACTCAGGCAGAAGAATCAAGACTCTCTTTAAAAGTAAAACCACCACAACCACCAGTTATTATGTATCTCCTGATAAAGGAACAAGCTACCACTAAAGAAATTCACCTCACAAACTCAAACTTGTTCATGCCTCCAGATATGACTGCCAACTTACAAAAAAAGAAACATGTTTAAGTTTGTTCCTGGGAAACCATTACCAAAAAATACTGCCAGAAATTTTAAAAGACAAAACCAAGAAGTTTCAGCAAATACAAGGATATCTTCAAAAAGTTCATGAAAATACTATTTTTTAAAATTATGCATGGATCTCAAAATTATTTCCACCAAAATGAATTATTCCTTTAATTTCATTTTTTTCCTGGGAACTTTTTGAAGTCCCTGAGTACTATTAAAGAAACAAAACAGAGAACTAAATTAAAAGATTAAAATAATGACACAATAATGCCAGCAGGTTGGGGAACTGGACTGCCACGTGGCCCTAAGCAGTTCAAGCCCCAGACCTGGTAGCTTGTTTTCTCACTTTCTCTCGCTCTCTCATTCTGTGTCTCTTCTCTGGTCAAATTAAAATAATAATAGTAAAATAGGGACCAGCAGGTAGCCTGGTGGTTAAGGTGCTGGACACTTCCACATGGCTAACCATGGTTTGAGTCCCAGACCTGGTGGCTTGCTTTCTCACTTCCCCCCTCCCCCCCTTTCTCTGTGTCTCTCTGGTCAAAGTAAAAAAATAAGTGAATAGATGAATAAAATTAAATAAATATTTAAAATAATAATAATAGTAAAATAAAGTTAAATTATAAAAAAATATTTTTAAAAAATGACGACACAAATGGAGAACACCACCATATGGTATAGTGGTTACATTGCTGACCATGATTCGAGTCTTGGACCTGGTGGCTTAAATCTCAAGCCAGGCATGTGCAAGTGTGCCCAATCCCAAGAGAAGAATGGAAGAGAAGGGACTGCAGCGCAGCCATCCCCCCTGGGGGTGCCTTCTTGCTTTCTGTCTGCCTCTGTCTCTCTGGCGAGTGCACATGCCCTATAGCAAAAACCCCTCTTTAAAAAAAAATAGTAAAAGAGGGGCCAGCAGTGGCGTGGTGGATAGAGGCACTGGACTACTACATGATCGAACCAGTTTCGAGTCCTGGACCTGGCGGTTTGCTTTCTCCCTTTCTCTTTCTCTCTCTCTCTGTCTCTATCTGGTCAAATTAAAGAATAATAATGACAAATGTTAGAATTAAATAAATAAATGAAATATTTTTTAAAAAATAGTAAAATAATGACACAAACGAAAAACTGGAGACTGACTAAAATATTAGATTTTTTAAAAAGAATTATTTGTTTATTTCTATTTGTTATTATTATTATTATTTCATTTATTTATTTAATTCTTGATCAGACAGAGGCAGAGACAGAAAGGGAAAGCACGAAAGCAAGCCACCAGGTCCAGGATCCGAACCATGGTCAGCCATGTGGGAATCCAGCGCCTTTAACCACCACGCCATCTGCCGGCCCCAATATTAGATTTTTTAAAAATTGTAGTTAACATATTCTTTCTTAAGAGGTTTTTGTCATAAAGCACATCCACTTGGCAGAGAAAGACACAGACAATGAGAGGGAAAGTGAAAAATCAGCCCCAAAGGGGGATGGTCATGCTGCAGTCCCTTCTCCATTCTTCTTCTGGGATCTTGGGCATACATCCCCAGTATGATATTCAAGCCACCGGGTTAAGGACTTGAACCTACGTGAACCCTGGTCAACCACGTGGGAGTCCAGCAATGTAATCACTATTCTATCTGCTGGCCCCAAAATTGTTTATGCTTTAAAGTGGGATAATGGTATTGTGTTATGTTTAACCTTCCATTTTCTAAAGATCCACAGTAAAACATTTGCAGACAAACTACCATATTTGGGATGTGCTTCACAATTATAACACAGAGAGCCGAGATCAGGTTTCCTCTAACTGCTGACACTAGGTGAATACATGGATACTCATTAAACATATCTATCAGGCAAGCCTGAGGTATGGTGGTTAGGGGGGCTGGATGCCACATGGCCAACC